AGATGATAAGGAAGCTTAAGGTGACAGCCTAATGGATTTCTAATAGGCTTTAAACAAACTTTAAGAAAACTAAGAAACCCCAAGTGACAAGATCTCCTGCAGGGATAAACAGCTGATGGTCTCATTCAGCATGGTCCTTCCTACACTGCTGGCTTGTTTTTTTGAAAATGCTGATTTCTTAACACTTAAAACATTTTACATTGCCTAGCACCACACTGTTCTACCAGATCCTGGTACACAAAATCAAATGCAACATCAAAAAATTTATTTTGATAAATTACTTTAAAAAAAAAATAGGAAATTGTTCTTCCAAATTGTACTAGTTCTCTCAAAAATATAATTGCTTGGCTGGGATATCTTTTGCCAGAGAATTAATGCAGATAATTTCACTAGACCTACATAGTGTGCCCAGAATGCAATCATAAATTTTTTGGTAGATTTGTTTAGAAGATCTCCTTTGCTTCAAAAGTTTTACTAGAGCTTTGACAGACAGACCTGGCTGCAGCCTTTCAACTTGATTCACAACACCATGAATAAATGAAAGCAAGCATTACTAAAGAAATTACTGATTTGGCAAATGAGATCACTGTAAAAAATTGGCTTCCCTATTTGCAACATGACATCAATTGTATTTGTTTAGCTAAGCTGTCATGCATTTTATTTTGTGCAAATGCATTTAAATTGTATGACAGCTGCAGTCAGGTCTATGGTGGCATGCATGAGACAGAAAGAACAGCACAGGCATGTGACAGGAAAAACAATACATTAGATGAACTTTTACAGAGCAAAAAAATTCCCTGTTTCTCCCATTCTTAAGCATTATCCTACTTCATAAACTATATGCCTAATGCCATGCTAGCACTTTTCTCTCTCTCTCTCATTCTCTGCTTTTTTAGCCAACCGTGTAAAACAACCTGTCACTGCAACAGTTGTTCCACTGCATGAGACACACTGGTTGAAATGCCAGAATTTAAAAACATTTGGATTTTAAAGCTGTGAGACAAGTAAGAATCAATGTTATATAAAAGTCTACCAAGAATCTCAACTAGTTTGCCTCGGTGCAATCTCCCTGTACACAAAACAAGACTAAATAAAATCTGTTAGTTAAAGGTGGCAACAATTTGATCATATTCAGAACAATTTATAAAAGCATGCCTTGTAACCAAGTAACAATAATAATAATGACTTGCCTAAACGAATACTCTATTGGGTTTTGTCCTTACTTGTTTAGGGCTTTTAGCTTTGTTTATTGAAGTTACAGGTCACAGATTTTTACAAGTTGTTGATCAAATACTGTAGGTGAGTGCACCACTCAGTAGCTTTTGGCCATCATGTGCAGAGCACCAGATACCTTGCTCCTATACTGTGGAGCAGGGATGCTCCACGGAAACAAGATACTCCTTGCCCAAATTCATGCTCTTGATCCTCAGAGATAAACCTTTTTATTCTTGCTTTGCACAGAGGAGAAGAATGTTACCCCACACTGGAAACAGATGTAAAAACAAGCTGCTACATCCAGAGAATAAGCCACTGGAGAATGTGTTCTTAAAACAAGGAAAGGACATTCTTCAGTATTCTGCTAGCCAGAATTTGAGTCAATGCTGCAGAACAGTCTCCTCTCTTCCAGCATATTTAAAGCAACTAAAAAGACTCTAAAAATCTTCAAATTAGAATGTAGACAGACTGTAACACTTGGCACTGGGGGGACGAAAGACTTCACACAACCATGAGATCATTCCAATCTGACAACTTTTACTCCCAAGTTTTACTCCCAAGAATGGTGACAACAAAAGTCGGAAGAGACTGCAGAAAGAAATCTGCTCTGGTCTTTCTCCAAACTTAGTCTTCACTAAATGTGTGATCTAAGAGATTTAGCTACACCATTACAAACAAAAGTGGCATGGATTTACAAGGTTTACACATTTTCAACCAAATTTAAACTTTGTTTACATTTGTTTATTGCAATTGTGTAAAGGATTTATGATTCAATGTATCAAAGTGGAAAAACAGAGAACAGTTGAATCTGGAAGACTTTATCAAGCATCTTGATTTTGACAAACCTTTTAGTCTTTTGAAAGTAGATTTTCTTTTCATTTCAAAACTTAAAGAGCAATATAAATTTATCCAATACAGCCCTGGGGCAGGGAGAAGCAGGTATGCTGCACTGTCTAAAGTTTGACCTAACCACCTGGGTATGCAGTACATTTTACTCAAGGATGCAAAAATGGCAACATCAATGCAAGGAAAAAAAAAATCTGTTCCTACAAAAAACACAAATAGTTGTCCAATAAACACAAAAAAACCCAAAACTAATACACCATAGTCTATTCAGATAGAACATAAGTTATCACAGTATGGAGAAAATGCAAGCAATTTCAATTTTTAATCTACTAGACTTCATCAATATTTACAACAAATTAATTTCATATTTGCAGAACATTTTTTTACATTTCAGCCATGTTGTGACTGGCCTTCTGAAAGCTAATCTAAACTGTCTAGTCATTTGAATTGGAATTACATGCCAGTAACTTTGAAAATAAAATAACTGATGGTGCATAAATCTTTGATTTGTCTGTATTTTTCTGTTTAATTTTATTTTTTTTTATTTTAATTCTGTAAATATAAAATATGCCCACAAACCACCTTCAAAAAGTTGTTCTTCCTTTAGATTGCAGAACAAGTTTTATGTGTGAACAAATTCAGGAATGCTTTATATCATCTAATAATACTATTATTTGATGATAAAAAACCTGATTTTTCCAAACTGACAAGATTTTGCCTAAATTCTCCCTTTTAATTTCAGGTGACGGCTCGACACTTTTAAAGAGTTACCCATTACTGCATAATAATTTGGAGATACAGATCACTAGCTACTTTTAACATTACAGGCTGAAAAACCTACATAAGGACAAAAAAATCTTTACAGAATCCCATAGTTTCCAAATGTAATTTTTCTAATCTATTGATTTCAAACATTGTTTAGATTTCTTTTCATGAAAGAAAAGGCTTGACAGTGAATGGATTCATTTCCAGGCTGTCAGCTTACATAAAGACACAGCAACAGCTGAATCATCTTTTGTTTCTCCTTGGAGGTCAGAGGGCTATGGAAATATTTAGAAAAAAATCAGTCCAAACTACCATAATTCAGATATTTTTATCCTCCCAAAACCAAACCCTTTTTTCCACCAGCCACTAAATAAGTGCAGATTAATCCAACTGAACTTCTCAAACACTCCATGTACCAACAGATCCTTGGTTTGTGGGCAGCATCGTGCTTCTCAGCTCTGATGGATTATTATTTCCTACTGAAGGCAGCAAGAAGACTGCACCACTTATTGCATTTTGGGGTGGGGTGCAAGAAAAAGAAGGCAGTAACACAGTGAAATCTTATCTTCATGATGTACGAGAGAGATTATCTACTCATTTTAACTAAACCAAGGATTTAACTCAGAACTTTAAGCTCCAGAAGAACCTGGTAACTTTATTTTAAATGAATATGGATTTTAACTTTAGAAAAAAATCAAATAAGTAAGATTTGAACAGGAAAAAAATTCCCTTTAGATGTAATATTCACTATTTCAGAATTAGCCTCTGTCTTTAGTAATTTAAAGAAGAATTCAGTAGCAAAACACTTCCTGCCTGGCAGACAACCCTAACTTATCCCAAAACCTCTACTGTTCAGCCAGGTAGTTGGGAATCAGATCAGTACTTCCCAGTTGCCTCTCACACACATTGAGACACAGCCTTTTTCACACCAGCCCTCTGGCAAGCCTTCCTCCCGAGCACGTGAACATCTACAGGACTATTTTGTCGCTATAGCAGGTACATTTCACAGCAAGAAGAGCAGTGGATCATAATCTATTCATAAACCTGTTCTGAAACAAGTCTGTACACTTTAAAAACAAACCTGAATTGACTTCCTATAGTCTATTTCTAGTTATTAAAAGAAAGTCGGAGTAATAACGCAAGTGATCTATTAAATAACATTAATTTGTAAAATAATCTGCCACTTGCCAGAAATCAAATTATTCTTGTTTTATACATTTATTAAATAAACTCTGTAGAAATTAGTAATAATGGGGGGCTTTGTGCAAAAGAAAAAGTATACCAGAAAAAAAAAAGTAGATGATGAATAGAAAACACAACATTTAAGATTACAAATATATATATATCTGAGGCATTCAGAACTCCCTGGACTTACTGCAAGTGATGTTCTCATAAAATCCTCTCTTCTTAAAGAATAAATACCATGAATACTGAAAATAGTATCTACATCTAGATACTTCGAAAGAAACTTTTTTCTTTTTTAAAAATTCAATGAGCAAATAACAACTGTAAACATAACAAGACACAGTTACTCATGCTTCTTAAATATGATCCAAACATTTAATAAATATTTTACTGAAATTTTGTTTAAAATTATAGTTCTATGTAGCAAAAGACTAAGGTACAGGTAGTTGTGCTAGGCTATAAATAAATAAAATAAATATTTTTTTTTTAAATATCAGTGATTTTAAAGCTATGCCAAGGCTAGAAATTGTTGTTTCAATTCTGCTACAAAACAGACAAGATGCTTTAGAAAAAGACAGTATTTTGAAATAAGATGACACAAAGTCCTGCATTCTCTATGCATCGTTTGCTTTAAAAGGGAAAGAAGAAATATCTCTTTCATTTGTTTTACTCATGTTATTATTTAACAAATGGGTCGGTCCTCATCATCTTCTCTCAATGCCGCCTTTATTAAATAACAAACCAGACCATGTAATTAAAAAAATATCAAATGCCTATGCACAGACTGGAAATGGACATATTTTCAACAGCTATTCAAATATCCTTTCTTTTTCCATAATATCTACTGGTGCTCATAAATTTTCTCAAACCTACCATCTCACTTTGTCAGCCTCTATGTATTACCTTGGTTCAGAAAGTCAGCATGCATAATAATGCAATACAAGGACTTTATATTTTTATTTTTTTTCATTCAAAGACCAAGTATTTACCTTCCACAAGCATATCTGGCACATCTGCTTGATATCTAGGCCCCACTCTGATTTCTCCCTTGTCTGCTAAAAGCGTTTTCAATGATGGATCATACACCAATGAATAAAAAAAAGTATCCTAAAAAACAAAAAGACATATTTGCAACAGCATAGTCATTTTTAAAATTAGGTTTGCAGACTTGTAACACCTTCCATTTGGAAATCTGCGTACTTTACAGAACATTGATTTGGTACATAAATCTTTACTTTATATAATACAGATGTTCCAGGAGTGTTTTTAAAAGGCTTATTAAGACTTCTCTCATTGTTAGGACTTTCTTCAGAACAGAGCAATAATGAAAAGATTCATACACAAAAATATATCAGTGGGGTTTGAAGAGAATTAATGTTAACTGCTTTCTGAATTTATCATGTCTGTACTCCTAAGTATCTTTACCATACTGACTTTCCATTATAAATTGATCTCAAAAAAATATAGAACACTGTCTGTGTAAATCCGTTTTGGGCACTAAAACAGTATTGGCAAATGTGGTATAGTCACATATGTATAGGCCAAGTCCTGCTTTCAAAAATATTTTTACTGATTATCAGTGGTTTGGTGTAGAAATTTAAAAATAAAGACATACTAATTTCAGACAGAAAATACTGTCTTCCTGATGTTATATTAAGACATTCCAAAGAAAAATATGTTTATTTTGAAGGCGTTTTGCAATCTTTCAAATTCTTGGGGAATTTTCTTCCTCTCTGGAAAAGCTAAGCATCCTAAGTATCCTTCCAGAAAATGGTGAGGAGACACTTTCTTTATCATAAAAACAAAACAAAATCACAAAAAAAAAAAAGAGAAAAAAAAAAAAGGCACATGTGAATTCTCCCTTCAGTATCTGCTACAGGAAAACATCTCTATATTTTCATCTGTAAGATGTCATTTTAAATCCTTCAAATTAATTATTTTCTAAATACAAACAGATTAATAGTAAACCTATCATTTCAGTGTTTCAATTAGTTTTTTTATCCAATATTATTGTTTAAATTAGTGTTTTGAACAACATAATTTTTCCAACATATCATCCAAGATATGATTTTTGAAGTATTTTGTGCCCATTTGTTAAAAGTACAGAAAGAAAAATAAACTTATCCCAAAATTTACTTGAATAGAAATCACAATTACCTCTTTCTCCAGGTATGACAGCACAGATTCTGTTTCATTCAGAAGTGCAACACTGCATTTTCCCCTATACAAACATAAGCAAGAATAGTTACTTTGTAAAAAGTTCAAATTTCAAGTAAAAAGTTGCTTACAAGAAAACAATCTAGATATACTTTAACCTTCCTCACTGAAAGTATAAAACATATTGAAATATATAAAAATGAACATTGCCATACTTTAATAATACCAAAATTAGCATAAAAGCAGCAAAACAAATGGCTGTACTGATGCAAGCATTCATATACATTGGAATTCCACCAAACTGGGAAATAGTTTCAGTAATGGATAATTCAGTAACGGAGAAGCAGAAAAAGAGAAGTGGTACAATGGCAAACAATAAATACACACACAATTAATAAAAAGATTCCAGGATTGAAGAAACATCACCTCCACGTGACTTGTCTCCAGGAAGTTCAGTGTATAATTTGAAAATAAATAACCCAAACTAGAAAGAATATAAGGCTTTACTTTTTAGACTGCAAAAACAAAGTACTTTTCTCTTTTGAATGGTTTTTAATAATGAATCATGGAATTCTATCAGTCTCTTCCATGCCCACATTAAAATGCTAATGACCTCATTTCTGTGCAGGCTCTTGTTGCTCAGCAGTGATACAGACCTGCCCATGTGGAACATAAGCAGTCAATGCAATGGGACTTTGAGCCCACCACCCTCAACCCCTTCTCATCCCCATCTCCCCTCAGCAATGCCTTGCCTCAAATTCCTCTGTCTCCAGCTTCTCTGAAAATAACCTGCAGAATTATGTTGAACAAATGGTATTTTAAAGGAACACTTATGGATGAGGATGAAAAATGTTAAGTGTGCTGAATCACCTTGCTAGCAACTCACATTTTTATGTTATATTTTACAATTGAACTACCATTTTATATATATATATATGTATGGGTGTGTGTATATATATATCTATATCTATGAAGATATATTTATTACCCCTTACATACAGCACCTTGTACTTCATGCACCAAAGTTTTACTCAGTTTAATTATTTGCCAAGAGGTTCCTGTGGCATTATACATCCAGCTACACGAACTGTGCCCAGAACATCCATCTCCCATCTTTCCTCATGGAACAGACCAGAATACAAATAGAAAGAGTAATTGTTTGCAGAGACCTTCTTGATTTTAAAATAACACCAAAATGGTTATTATAAAAACTTGTCATTCTGTCAGGGAGTGCTGACTCTAAGCTTTAGAGGCATTAGAAGCCAATTGCTAATGGCTGATACCCAGCTAATATCTTATTCATTGCCACTGCACATCCTGGGAAAGGGGGGAGAAGCCACACAATTACTGTCCTGAATTTCTCTTCATTGTCACACCTGTCAGGAGAACCACACCACCAAAGAAAAATGGTGGGAAGAGGGGGAAGAAAAGTCTGACCACAGTACACAACAGCAGAGGAAAATCCTCCTGCAGCAGAGAAGTAGGAAAGCTTCTAGATATCCCATAATGTCTTTCTTTGAAGGCTTTCTTGAAACTTTAAGCCTCAGTAATTCCAGAGCATTCACTTCTAAAAATTAATTGTGTTGTAGCACTAAGCCAGTTTTCCAACTTTATTTTAATATTTTATTGGGTTTTTTAGTGTAAGAGGTTAACCAGGAGTTTACCTTTCCAGTCTGCTTCTATTCCATACAGCTCGAGCATGCTCTCTCTCCACTACAGCCTGCCCTCATTTAACTCAAATTACCACAGAGGCATTCATTGCTCCACTGCCATCATGGCTACAAAAGTATTTTATTGACTAGCCTCATCTTTTACTGCTGGTCTGTTAAAAATTCATTTTATTTCATTAAGAGACAAGATCAGTCCCTGCAGCATGTCTTTAAAGTGAGTGGATTTCTATTTGATGCTACACTTCTTTGCACAGCACTTTAACCATCTAACGGCTGGAGTCACACAGAGGTAACATTTTGTATGCATATATGACCTTTCACATGCATGGGCTTGTGTCTCAACAAAGACAGTACTAGATCTACAGTAGACACCAAAAAAATAAGAAAAAAACCAACAAAACCTATATTTGCAAACAGGTAAATTACAGAAGTCTTTCTACTTTTGATTCTCTATATTAAAGATACCTGTTTCTGTAATCTAGAAACCTGCAATACTTAATATAAGTGATTTAGAATATTTACCAAATTGATAAAAGTCTACTGTTTATATAACTCCTCCTCTCTTTCTTTCCCATCAGAGGAAAAGCTTTTCTGTCTAGTTGTAAATGCTCTGCTGGGTTGAACCAAGCATCTAGTTCATTGTATTATGCCCAGCACTCCTCAGTCATGGATGATAAGGAAATAATTTAAGTGAATATCGATTTGCAGTAATACACCCCTTAATATTCTCCAACCACCAGTGCACTTTTCACCTGTTCCTCAATATTAATAATCAAATGCCCTGGAGAAAAAGTTAATGTCATTTAAACCACATTACAACGTGACTTGGGAGTTAGGTCTTTAAGGGATGTACCTGAAAACCCATAGCTTCTCTGGATTTAAAAATAATATTTTCCTCCTTACAGTGTTCTGGATCTTTATTCCTTAATGTTTTTTAAGAATTTCAGATAATGTGGACAGATAGAGCTATATCAAATAAATAATCAATATAACAGCATAAAATCTTACTGTTCCAAACTAGCCAGAGAAAAGAAAGGGGGAGCTAGCTGCCTACAAAAACAAATGAAAGAGAATGTATGCTGCATTTAGCAGATTATAAAAACAGTTACAGACCAAAATAAAATTATACTCGCTACTTTCAGAAACTCTAATGTCTTTACATTTTGAGTGTTACTTATTTATTGAGTATTAGTGGCATACCCTGCCACAGGATCTGTTGGAGTCTCCTGAATGCATGACTAAACTGAACTCAGACAAAAATTACAAAGAATTGCCCAGTTTTTAAAAAATTACATAAATAAAGAGTTGTCTACTATTTTTCCATATATGAAACCTTCTTCCTTTTATGTAACTCTGATTCTCTGATTCAAGCTGTATTCCTCCAACAAGCAGCATTCTTGACTTAATTGGTATCATCAAGGTGAATTATTAGTTAGCAGCATCAGAAGGTCTCAATGTTAAGATGACACATCTGATTTTGACCTTTCTCTCCAATTAAAAATATTCAGAAAAGATTTTTTTTTACTTCCTACAGAATTAGGCAAAATTTATCTCCTAGGAACGTTGAGTGGAAGTTTAAGCAACCTCAGCAATGCACAAATAACAGTAAACAAGAAAGTAAGTCAGCTTCTATGTCTTCATTACAACTTAATTCTGATGAGATTAAGTTGTGCCTTCAGAATCCCTTCTCCTCTTACGTGTACTTTATATTTAAACTGGTCACACATAAAGAGTTGTTCCATTGAGCTGACAACAATGCCAGCAAAACTTATTATGTAATTAAATCAGCAACAAAAAGTTATTTAGAGGTCTTGAAGTAAACGGAGACAATAAAACTCACTTTTAAATTTATGCTCATGGTATTGCCAGCTTCTATCATATAAACCACTTAGGATTCAATTTCTTCTCCTGTCCTAGTAACCAGAGCCACAACTCACACTTTTCTTTAAAGCATTAATCATGTGACAGCTCTTTTCACATGCTACACCTTCCTTTACTCTTATTTGTTAGAAGCTTTTGTCTGCTTGTAAATTTTTTTTTGTATGTTCCAGGTGACTTCAGCAGTGAGTTGACAATTCCTGAACATTTATACTCATCAGCTAACAGAGGCCTGACAAGCTATTTTTCCACGCCTACAGTTTACTTCCATACCTCAGGGAAGCCCTTCTGTTACAATACAAAAATGAGACTCACCCTTTTTCCAGAAAAAAAACCAAAATTTTAGAACTAAAGTGCCTTAATGATTTTGTAGGAAAGGACTTCTTCAATAGCCCCAGCAGAAACCCAGGACCATGCACTTGCAAAAACAAAACTAACCAAAACCTCAAAGCACAGAGACACTAATGAGGATTAAAAGGAAATGGTAAGAAATACTAGTTATCATGGTAGATACTTCTATCTCATTGCAATAATGTATGAGATACTTCTATGTCATTACAGGGAACAAGGAAGATTTGTTACACCCCCCCACACACTCCTTGTTTTATGGAACTATTTTTCCTGGGATGGGTGGGAGGCTTTTTGGGTGGAACAAAGAAAAGGAGAATTAAATTCCAAAAAATAAATGACAGCTTTGTGAGACGCTCAGAGGTCAGACTGTCTTGCACAATTCAATATGGAGCTCATGAAAATCAACACTCTACATGAGATGTCAGTTATTGTGCCAGTCCTGAAGGAGAGATTTCACAGAGAGTAAGCTGAGGTAAGACCTAAGAGATCCTGAGAACTAAAGACAAAAAACGTGCCCTGTTTCAGTGAGATCCAATAGAGGAATGAAAAACACGTGGGAACTCACTTCAGACAAAAATGTGACAACAATCAATATTTAGATGAAAGACAAGGCTGCCCTTACTGATCTGTTACAATGAAGGCAAAAGATGATGATACACAGCTCAAGAATTTAAGTAGCATGAAAGGAAGTTGTACCAAGGTTATTATAACAGACAATGTTATGAAAAGATTTCAAATATAGTCTGGTTAAACAAGCTAGAGCAAAACATCAAATTGCCCAGAAGATACACTGAAATGGCTTTTTGTTTGCACTGTCTAGGTAATTGTTCTTTAATGAGCTTTGTCTTAAAAGTAATCAAAAATATAGATTAAAATCTTTATGAAAATTTTAAAAAGTTAATGCAAACACTTATATTTTAAAACTATCAAAATTAATCAAAATCAACAGCAACCGCCTCATCTTTAACAGTGCCTGTTCATTTCAGCCCTAACTTTTAAACCAGTGGAAACCTCTACAATTCCTGTTCTGCTGTTATTGAAGGTTATTTCTTCATGTTTTCACCAGATGAGTAAGACAGCCCATGAGATACAGATTTTTTTTAAATTAAGGATTTCTTGGAACAGGAAGTATGCAAAAAAAAACAAAAAACAAACCCAGAAATAA